TGTGGGGGAGAGAGACACATGTTATAGACCATATCTATATATATATATATATATATATATATATATGTTATTTTGGAATATATATTTTTTTATTATTACTTCAAAGATTTATATCCATATTGCAGCAAAAGCTTGCAAAGAAAGATGGCTATGCATTTAATCGTCAACATGACATTGATTACTTGTGGAAATTTTACCTAAATTATAAAGGGAGATATCACATTGAAGATATCCATGAGGAGCAGCAAAAGCTGAGGGAATCCAGAGTCTTTAGTGGAGAGTATGCGCCTTTTTGTTCTGTTGGTTATCTTTATTTGAAACCACAACATTGATTATTGGTAAATTAACTTTGATTGTTTTTTCAACAAGAGGGAATACAATCTGACACGACATAGATATACATTTTACTGTTAAGGGCATAACTCATGGCTAACTAAACGGCATGTTGGCTTTCAAATTGTTTTACAAGGGTATTTACCTCTAATTAAAGCTTTTCAAGACAGCATGTGGATAAATAAAATTGTTGCAGACTGCGACTTGTTCAGTCAAAACTAACATTGAATGTGTGAATGTAAAAATGTTTCTGGCTTGTTAACAGTTTGTAATAGTAATACTGTCCGCCTATGATCTCTTGAGCTTCAACTTCTTGGTAATTAGAAAAAATCATGTCACAAGTATATTTTTTTGTCATGTAATCTGCAATTTGTTTTCTTTGATGCCTCTGCCTACATTTTTGTTATGATTGTAGCGTAGGCTCCCCTGGCAGTTCACACAAAATTTTTACTTCTTGTATGGCTGAATGTGCTTGTTCAAAAAACCCAAGTTCCCTGAAGTCACTCTCATCTTCTCTTGGTCATAATGTTTCATTTCGATGTATGAGGTAGCGGCCTAGGATTATTTTTCAATTTAGGATTGACAACAATACTTAATTGTTCCGAATGAACTTCATTTTATCTTTTTGGGGTATTCAAATGACTTTACTTATGTTTGATGTTGATAATGTGTAATAAAATGGACTAATATCTCTTGCAGACTAGATCTTCAAGAAGCCCTTGAAAACTTATTACTAAGGAAATTGAGGAAGAACAGATTACATGAACTTTTATAGCAGAGTGAACACCAACACAAAGTCTGCCGCCCATTGACATCTTGTGGCTAGATTAAGAGTTCTGCACTGGGAAATGCTTGATAGATTCCACCTAGTCTGGTTGTCACTCAAGAATTTTCTTGAATTTGCCCTCCAATCACCATTGCTTGGTTTCGGCCACGGGACAATGCCAGGAAAAATTCTGTTATTTTTTTGTACTTTGCCTTCGCAATTTGCAAAACCACTTGTTCCTGCCATAGGTTTCAAGTCTTGGATTAGCTGCCATCTTCTATCACTGATGGTGGATGCCCACTTTGCCAAGCTTGCCGGAATTTCCAGTAACCTGCAGTCCTAGTTAGGAAGTAGTTTTGTATGACAGCTTGTTCAGTTAACTAAGACTATCTTGCCTAAAAAAGAAGACATTAGAGAACTGGATGAGTGGGGTTAACTAAGACCATCTTGCCTAAACAAGAAGACAGTAGAGAAACTGATGAGAGGCATTTTCTTAGTTCTAGGATTTTCCGACTCGCAGAAGAACGATTACCTGATGCCTGCCTAATGGAAGTCTCACTTTGGTTTTCCTGTTTTTTCTTTTCTTTACTCCCATCTCCAGCACCTTCAGCCACCACTAGGTTCCCTGTTTTCCCATCATTGTTAACCCAAGGCTCTCCTCCACCACCACCAGTTTTCACCAGAGCAAAATAAAAAGTTGAAACAAGAGAACACGCATTGCTGCAGGAAATAACCTTCACCAATGAAAAATAGCAACCACCCCTTCTTATTTCTTGTGTTAAGGTCACTGCTCAGAGGTTTTGGACAAGCCACTGCCACTGTTGCTTCCAGAGTTTCGGTGATTGATTGTGGTGGATTTCCAGACTTTGCTTCGATCATCTTTGCCTTCTGTTTTCAAATCTGGGAAAATATTTCCCAAAGGTAGGAAAACTTGTATCAAAGCTCAACAAAAATTGGGAGAACAGTAAGAAGTGGTGGTTTTGAGTAGAATCTAAGCGGCCTCAAAATCACTAATGCAACTACAAGAGAAAATGGCATAAATAATCTCATTAACAACCTCTAGTAATTATGTTATTTTAAACCATATTAATTGTTTTTTATGCAAATAATTTATTTGTTAACCTTCCTCTATCTTTTTTCCCCAACTTCTCTCCTGCCCTAAATTCCTCCCACTGTATGATATTGAACAAGGTATTGATGGAAATCTGATTTTTTTGTTGTTGTAGAAATTTAATCTTGAACACAACATGACTTTTGATGCACTTTGCAAGTAATGTCATTTTTGTATAAAAAGTTGGTCATTAGTGCGCAACTATGAAAAGAGTACAATGATAATCCATATATGAATACAATACAATAATAAGTAATAGCAAAGGAGCTCCCGATCTGGGATTGCAAACTCGCGTGATTCCCCGTTGCGGTATCACAAAATCGGGATTTTCCACAATCATGGGAGGGTTGAACCGGCAATTACCATCTGATTAGTAATTTGCCGAAATCTTTGCCATTACTGGCTTATTTTTTATTTCACTATTTCTAATTAGAGTTATTTTCAATTAGGGACTTATTTATGGTTGATTTGTTTTGTTTTGTGGAACTTTGAACTTTGTTATGTGTAGTTTGGAGATTGGAATCTCTGATTTTTACCATAAGGAGTGCTGCATCTTCTTCTTTTTGGAATTGAGTGTTTGTAGTCTGTTCAAGGACAATTGGTGGAACTTCCTTGTCATCATTAGCTTGCCGTTTTGTCATCGCTTCACTGTTTTTAGCCAGGATAGTCTCCGAATGACTCTATCCCCATCCAAACACTGTCGAATTTGCGCATTATCATTCCCTTGCTATTCCACGACTAGTTCCCCTGCTAAATCCGCTTTCTAAACATCTAGGAACCCTAGAACGGTGTAAAGTAGTTTATGGAAAATTTTCCATTTTAGAAAATTTCAGTTGCCATTATCATTACCATTATCGTGAAAGATTTTGATAATCTTTTAAATTTGAGAAGATTTCAAATTTAAATTTCATTGTAAAAATAAATAATGAAATAATATTTCTTGTATGGAAAGAATGTGTTATTGACATCTTTAATTATATTACAAGCAATCAAAGCAGATTCTGGTCATTAAGAACTTAATTATTTGAATTCGCTCATTCTTAGCTGGGGCGTTGGAATTTTAAGAAAGGAAATACAGTGAACATTTGCTTCAACCTCTATTATGGAAGTTTTGGATGCTTTACAATCAATGATATTTTCAATTAAGCAAGATGACAATCAATTATGCTTTCAAATCTCGAAAATTTTTATATTTTTTGTTCTCTTCATGAAATTATGCAATAAAGTCTGCTTTAATGCTCAGAAATAAGGGGTGAGTTGTATTAGAAATTCTTGTTGGGTTAATTGTAAGCTGTTACTTGTGCGTAATGAGAGGTGAAGCTTGGTTGTTTTCTATTATTGGGTTTTTTATTTTGGCGAGTTTCCTATTGTTATTTGTATTTTCTTTTATGTTATTACTCTTTTTTGAGTAATTATATCAATTGTACTTATATGAGCTGCTAGAGACTGCTGTTAAGTTTACTATTATAGTAATGAGATTGCTGTTAAGTTTACTATTATAGTAATGAGACTGCTGTTAAGTTTACCAATGATAATCTATCATTGGGTTTTTTTTTTTCCCCTATGTATCAGTCACTAACGAAACTGAACAGTTGGCTTTAGTTAAGTTTACTTGAGTTTAGCTAACTGGAACATTGTTTTCTATTTCTTACAAAAACTGCTGGTTCTTAATATTTTAATATCATTTTACTAATTTCTTACAAATTCGTATGGATAACATCTGGTTGATAGTTTACTCTCTTGGTGGCTCATAAAGTGAATTCTATTAACTTCAAGTTTGTCAATAGTATTTTAAATTTTTCTGTAAGAAACACCATAAGTGAAACCTTACTCTTATTATATTTGATTATGTGTCGATGGGAGATGGCCTCTAATAAAGGAATTTTTATTCGGTACGTGTACCGCATGAATGCCTGCATGCAGTATCGAATTAAAAACGGCCACATGAAATTCGATACAACGTGGATTTTTCACCTTAAAAAATCTGTCATATTATGTCCTACTCGGCCCGAATCCTGCCAAAAAAAAAACGTCTTTTTGTCATTTTCGATTCCCGCCAATTGAAAAAAAGTGGTATTTGGTCTCCTTTAGGGTTTAGGTATTCGGGATATTCTCATTTCGTTGCCTCGTATTCGCTGGACCTGGTTCTATGGAAATAGTTTTTGACGAAGAAATATTGCTGGAATCTCAAAATACTTGCGAGAAACGTAACAATGAGCTGAAATCTCAGAATATTTTCGAGAATAATGAGAATGAGCAGAGTTTAGAGAGCAGAGTTTAGATGCGGCAGAAAGACATCGGCAGGTACGTTGAAGACTTGTTTGAATGCAGTTCTAGGTTTTAAGGAATAAATTTATTGTTAGTGAAGTTTGCTCTGTTTTTAGATGACGTGTAATGCTAAGTTTTGGTAAGGGTGGGATGTGGTGTTATTTAGATAATGTCACTGTTATATACTGATTGTTTTTGCAGTTGTTTTCCATTTCTGATTTTTCGTTATAATATTATTGGGGGTTTGGTGTTATTTTGGTAGTATCACAGTGTTATTTTGGTAGTGTGTTATTTTCACAGTGTTATTTTGGTAGTATCATAATGTAACGTTACTGTCGTAGGGATTTGATATTATTTTGGTAGTATCACAATGTTATGTTGGTAGTATCACAATGTAAGGTTACTGTTTGTGGGGATTTGGTGTTATTTTGGTAGCATCACAGTGTTATTAAAGTAATATTGGATCTGCAGACTTGTTTTTTTTATGAGGCTAGTAACATTTCTTAACGACATTTGTTCGACATGTTATATTGACATTGCCATGGTGTTATTTGGGTTATATTATGGTATTATTATCGTGTTATTTATGTATTGTAACATTGTATTAATGATGTTTAAATTTGCAGTCACCCGAGGCAGAGAAATTACTTCATGCAGAGTGGTCCACAACAAGAAGAAAGCCTATGAACAGTATTGTTTATATGCACACCATATTGGATTTACTGTGCGAAAGGAACACAATGGTTTTTGGCCGAATTCAAAGAAGCTTAAGACAAAAGACTTTGTTTGTAGTAATGCTGGT